TATTAATGATAGCATTGTGACCAGAAAGATTCTGAATGAAACTTCCATCAGGGAATTTCCACTGTTTTATGTTATCTGGAGAACCGGATGCAAACGTGTAACTAAAATAAGATTAAGAAGAGTTCATGGCAACATGACTCAAGCTAAATGGAATGGGGGATTAAAAATGTTTATCACTATATTTTCTGTATTTACACAATGTTTTATGTAGTTCTAGCAAAAATATTGCTGTCACACAAGATGCAAAAAATATTAATCGTTTCTTCCAAATTAAATTCAACTTTCAAAATTTTTAAAATGAACAGCAGACCCTCGAGTTATGACCAGCCTGACACACACAACTCGGGTTATGACCATAAGTTGAATTCTGACTCATAATCGAAGTCCTGAGCTGTGACCCAAATGCTGGCCCCTGTGCCTCCAGATGGTCTCAGATACAGACTGAACCCTTAGCGAGTCCTGGAAGGAACATTACACCATCCTGTCCTGCATGGGATTAACCAAGAAATCGGGGCTAATGTTTAAGGATGCTGAGATTTGCCTGTGGATAGGAGAGACGCTAAAGGCTGGGTAGAGGAACCTGAGCCTTCAGAGACACCTGAGCTACAAGAAGCCCTCGAAGAATGGAGTTTGTAATGAAGTGTCCACCATAGTTTAAATTCTAGAGTAATGTTTTTTTTTCATATTTTCCCAGTGCCTTACAGTGAGTACAATAAATGTGCAAATACCTAATTTCACACGAACACAAGATACTACGTCTCTGTTCTGCAGAAATGTTGGGAAGGAAAGACAGAAGGCAAGAGGAAAAAAAACAGAAATGAGGGGGAAAAGAGGGAGGAGAGAGATGCACACATCAGGAAAGTCCCGGGTGGCAGGATGTGATGAACGGCAAGCAGTGATTCTATCTCGTATTCCTTCAGGCATTTCGCTTCCATGTTAACGGCTCTTACTCCCTGTGCATATTCACTCCCTCCTAAGGATTAATTTTTCCTAGGCATGCCTCAGTGTCCAATACCACCTATGCCTAAAACATATCTAGCCACTATTACTATTTTGACATGCATCTTTAGACCAAGATTTACTTATCCTGCCTTGTTCATCACTATACAGAAGGCTTTCCTCATCTTGTACAGGGCAGGAAGTAGAACAGTAACAAAGAACACTACAGAAACGCTCGTGCATACGTGGCACAGACCCGGAGATGACAGCCGGCACAACAACCAACAGGAGCAGGCCCAATGCTGGGATTTCAGGTCTATACAAGGACCCAAAGAAAGCAGCCGATCAGCGAGACACACTTACTGTCGGGGATGTAAGACCACAGCCCTGACGGACTTCTTATGATTCGTCAGTGTCACTCTCGTTTTTCCAGCCACCAGGTCCCATAATCGTATTGTAGTGTCATGACTTCCTGAAATAAAGATACACACATTTCTAAACACGGGCTAGGAAAAAGAACGGAGAAATTGAATAAAGTAGAATAAGAACCATTCTTTCAGAAACATATAAGTACTAAATCAAAATCTTATCATCTGTTGGCTAAATTCATTCTATTTCTATTATTCTAATTTTAAATTCTTTGAAATTGAAATAAAATGCTTGTCAACTGAACAGCAAATGTAATGGCAAATCATAAAACAAACACATGATTGTAATCACCAGTGAAAAAGGTACAATCAGTATCTTGTTCAGTTAAAACCCATTAAATATGACAATTATTTTCTATTATTTAAGATTCACTATTACTAAAGATACACATCAATTCTAGAAGCTATCAGTCTCAGACTATCTCGTCCTCTATCGTCAACCTCCCAGACTCTCAGTGCTGGCACCGTAATACCTGCTGTGTGTTACAGCAGTTTCTAGCCATTTGTGACCAGATACAGTGGGACCTTGGTTTGTGGGCACTTTTGTTTGAAGTGTTAGGCAAAAGTTTGTTTTTGTTCATGAACTTGACATCAAGTGACAAATGCGACTGTGGCCATTTCATGAACAGAAGAAGTTCAGGAACCGAGGCACCACTGTACTACGTATGACACAGTCTACCTGTAGAAAACATATGGTAAAACAAGTGGATGCACTCTTACGATAAACTTTAAACGTTCTAGATTAAAACATATGACAGAGACATTCAGCACAATAAAAAGTGCAACAGTGAATATACAAGGTTTATGTACAACTATAACATATTCTCCTATGAAATGGACAGGTGGTAAATTTGAAAAGTATCCCTCATACCGGTAATAATCTGTGGCTCCGCAGCTTGACACCTCACAGTAGCCACGGCATTTGTGTGTCCAGACAATGTGTGCACACTGGCTTTAGTTCTCACATCCCAAATCTGCAGAACACAACAGACACTGTCAAAGATGACTGGCATCATGTCTGAGGCACACAATTATATCTGTTGAAGGCTGGAGGCTTACTAGAAACTGTGCCTACGTAAGGTGAAGAAAGCGCTTACAGAAAGCACAGTGCCCTCTAAGCTAGAAGGGGCGCAGCCAAGAGGCAGAGGGGCAGGGAGCACGAGGGCCCAGCGGGCACATGGTCATAACAGGACTGATGTACCGAGTGCACGGCCACGGCAGTAACAGATGGGACGGTGAGAAGAGCACATTCCAGGGCGAGGCACTAACAGTACGGTGAGGCCACAGAACTAAAAACTATCGTAGAAAAACATGGACTGAGGGAGCAGTCCCATGGAGTCGGCCAATCTTTTTCTACCAATGAATGCAAGAGTCTGATATGAACACAAGCATAAGCCGCAACACGTCTGCACACAAATGCACAGCTCCAGCACACTGACCTACCCGTGCAGTTGAGTCCCGACTACAGGTTACCAGCACGTCAATGGTTGGATGCAAATCCAAACCATACACTGCACTGAGATGTCCGTGATAGTGCCTTATAACCTTACGGAAGAGCAGAAAAATTAGTTTCTAAATTAGAACAGTAAATCAATGGCGCCTAACATCCTAAGTCCCTAACTCCAGCCTTACCTTATTATACTCTAGATCCCAGCACTTGACTTGCTTGTCTTCTCCACAAGAGAACAAGTACGGGCTCCTCGAGCTGACGATCACGCCCCGCACTGTGCTGATGTGGCCCGTCAGTGACAACTTTAACTTGCCACTAGCCAGGTCCCAGATCTGCAACCAGAGAAGAAAAAGGCTAAGTCAAACTGGGAAAAGTCACACCGATGACAAGGTCGGTGCTTCTGAGCTACAAAGATGATGGTCTGCACGAGCAGCATGCTTACACAACCTGAGAACACAAAGTAAAGGTACAAGAAAGTTCCACCTCTCTTGAAACTTTACATGAATGTTTTAAAAAGATTTAAGTATTTCTGTTTGCCATCCTAGAAGATATTTTTAAAGGGACACACAATTTTCTGAAATAGAACCTCGCAAATATATTGCAGCTGTCCATCCACTGACTCTGGAAAGAAACTTGTACTCTGGGTATCAAGTCTCAAAAATATTTGCCCAGCACTCCCAATGCTGGGAGTCTACACTTCACAAGTACAAAGAACTCCATGAACAAGGACTTAATTATGGCATTGTGGATAAAAATGAACATCACAAACCTACAACCTGAATGTCCAACCACAGAAGAATATAGACTATCTGAATTGCACATTATGGAACCACTTAAAAAGGTATTACCTTTTTCACAAGAATATGCTCTTGATAAAATGTTAAGCTGAAAAGGCAAGATACAAAAATCCCTATCAACAGTAATTTTTAAGCTATACATTTATATACATTGGGAAACAGCTGAAAAGTAAATGCATTGGTTAACGTGTACACACAGAAGCACTGAAATAAAATTCACAAAAATACCTACCCACGGCTGCACTATGCATGGGCCTATGTCTGTTGATAGCTATCTATATTCTTCACATTTTCTATAGACGATGATGTCTTAATTTTGTAACCAGGAGAAAAATAGCCTTAAGTACCAAGCAGACAGCATATTTAAAAAACCAAAACCTATCACTTAAACACTACTTTTAAGATAGACATTTTGGAAGCCTCACTAGGACAGCTGTTACCTGTTACTTAGGTAACAACAACAAACACAAAACATCAATGACTTGAAATAGCACTTCCTCCTGTAGACATAATAGAAGGTCAAACAAACACAAAGTGACATCTACTTTTTCTCCTTTCTTCTCACCTTTATAGTTCGGTCAGCAGACCCGGTGACGAACCACTGATTCCCAGGTTCCACAGCGATGCATCGCACCCAGCCGAGATGCCCGCTGATCACCTGCGTGAGGAAAGGGGGACGGCAGGCTCAGCCACACCCTGGCTAGGACGCACGCTCTGCAGCTGTCTCTCCCCACATCAGCAAATCCCACACTGTCAGACTCGGTGGGTAGACTTTGAATGAGGACACTATCTTCAAGGGTGAACAGAATGGTGGTGCACCCACACAACAGAACACTTAGCAGGAAAAACAAAGGCATTAGTAACCCAGTGACTTACAAAATCACAAAAGCTTAAGCTGAGTAAAGGGAGCCTGTCTCGAGAAGCACATAGTGTGTACTTTCAGTTGTATGACACAGCTGACAAGACAGACAGGTCAGGGTACCAGGGTAGTGGAGAAGAGGACTAAAAGAAGTGCACAGGGTGTTTTCTGGTGATACTATGATGATGGGGTGTCACTCAATTTCATGTCTACTAAAATCTGTCAGACCTGTAATGCAAAAAATCTCTTATCATACAATCATTTGAAAACTAAGCTTATGCCAACTGGACATTTCCCTTTTATACTTCTTTAATTTTAGATTAGACCATTTTGAACCACCTTCAATTACTGAAGTAAAGAATAGGAACATCCAAAGTAACTTCTTTATAAGGAGTTTTCTCCTTAGCTTTCATATTAAATGCTTCATGTCCCTAAATTCATTTTCTCTGCCCTGCACATTTAGTGCTCTTATACTGATGTTTTATTCTGCATCTTACCAAAAAATACCAGAACAGCTTTAACAAGAACACCCTCTCCGAGGCACTGATCGCTTTGATCACTCGGCCCGGAAGCCCGCGCCCATGCGGCTCGCCCTCCCAGCTCCCTGCACACTCCTCTTCCCCCGCGCTGCCTTCTGCCCTAGTCAAGCAGAAAGCTGTACATTACACAGGGAGCTGGAGTGCAGAAACACTCACCCTGTACAGCTTCCACGGTGGGTGCCACTGGGGTTTGGGCATCGTAGGTGCTTTTTTAGCCATCAGTGCAGAGTTCTTGGTGTTGCCAGTCTCCATAACTATCTAAATGTGCAATACATGATTGATAAACTTATGACATGCATTATTACATACCTAGCAAAAATATACTTAATGTTTCATGTTAATTGCAAAGTTGTAATCATGATACAGGATTTATGAAAGTTTTTTTTTCCCTCTTGAATGAAGCAGGAAAGACAATTAAAATACTTTTCCACAAATAAAAATATGAGTCTAACACACTTGATTAGAGTGCACCTTTATAAGTCAGTGTTTAAAACCAAGTAAAAAAACCTGAGAGGCAAAGTATTAGTAAAGAGCAGACATCGCAGTGTACAAGTTCAAAACCTAGTGGTGCCAAGTGCAAACTTAGCCATCTTGGGGAATATTTCCATAACTCCGTCGTCTCCAATGTATGGTGGGAAGCACACATGCCTACATCCTAGGATTCCAGCTCATTTTCTAATACAATACTTAAGTGGCATTTTAAGAGGTACACCAGCTGATAGAGATTGAGCATCCATAATCCAAACACCGGTAAGTCCAAAATGGTCAACATTCAAGTTCAATTGAGGTGTCTGAATTTCAGATTAGGAATGATCAACAGGTAGTTTATGCAAAGATTCTAAAAAGTCAAATGAAAACCTGAAACACTTCTGGTCCTATGTACGTCAAAACAGAGACTCTACTGCAACCCGCACTAACAGTCATGCAAGAATCAAAAAATCACTGAAGCCCATTAAGCTCTGCCCTCAAGAAGTTCAATTCACACCTCCCCAGGGACAGAGAAACTGCCTCTGAATGGAGCAATAAAAAAGAAACGTGACATTAAGGTTACAAATTCAGTCACTTCACATGACCAATCAACTGCATAGTAAACTAGGAAATGAAGCCCACACTAATTTCAAGTGATGCTGTTAGAAGACACCCGCCACATGTCAGTCATTCTTTCTCCAGCTACTTTCAACAGTACTGAGGGCAGCTGCCGCTTACTCATAAATGCTCATGCACATCTGAAGACACTGGTGTGTACCCCTCGGATGTGACCATACTAAGAGCACCCAATGCAATGACACACAACTTACAGTTCAACCAAAAGATCTACACAGCTGACACATACTAATGTGAGCTTCAGAAAACACTCCTGGTAGTTTTAATAATGGACAGCAAATGTTAAAAATCACATTATTTTCATCAAAATACATGGTATATACAATGTGCAAATAGGCATAGAAATAACAGCTTCATATGCTAAAAAATAGTCAATTCACTAAAACCTCGAGCTCAAAGACGCTATTTACACTAATAAGTTCCAGGACAGTGATCATTTCTTGAATATTTAACATAAAACTTTTGGGATGAAAGGATGAGGTGACACATTTGAAAAGCCAAGAGACTAGAGTGCTATCCAACACAGGAAACTTACGGAATTCATGCCTGTAGTCTGTGCACGTTCAGAAGCCCCAGGAAGTCGGTACTCACTCCCACCAGACGCAGCACGATTTGCATCACTTCTGAGGTGAGAGAAATGACACACAGTGACGCGTCTAGTCCTGCATTCTGCAAAGCCTAGCTATTAATTTTTGCAAATTCTTAATATAAACATACTATATAATACAGTTGTAAAGAAACAAATTTAAAAACGTAAAAAAATGTAAATGGTCAAATACACTTCAAGATCTTTTCAATTCATTCTATGCATACCTGGCCTGGGGAGAAGGCAAAGCCACTGCCAAGGACTGTGCAGCAGACTCGCTGGGCATTCTTTGGACTTTAGTATCTGCTGTCAAAGCGACCCCAGGTCCTGGTGGGTATGGATGTGTCCCTGTCACTACATATTCAACTTCTTGTCCTTGATTGGGAGGATACTGTTTTTGACTGTATGAATCTGTTGCATTCTGAGGGCCTTTCTCTTTAAGATTTTCTTTTGAAGTGGGCATATGCAACACAGGACCATACTCATTATGAAGCTTGATTGCCATTTTTCTTTTGTGACTCTCTTCATCCAAAGGCACAGGCTTTCCATTATCAGCTACAAACATGTCATGGGTCCTTTTCAGTGACCTGAACACAAGTGTGTGTACAGAGTGTTTCTGTACCTCCTAAAAAGAAAGTACAATCACACATTAAGCTACAAATCACCCACATCATAAGCTAAATGAGAGTCACATCTGTTAGACGCTTTCCATATTGAAGTCCTTAAGCACCATACCACCCACTACAATTACTTGTAGTAGGCTACAGGAATCAGGCTCGGAAGAGAAAGATGAATACTGGCTGAGGTTAGTCGTGTACTGAGTAAAAGGTCAAGCTTGTGCAAAGCGAATGGCAGGTACTGTGCTAGATGTTACCAAGCAAGGGATGAAAAGGCAACCAGGGTTCCCAGGTTCCCGAGACAACAGAGACATAATAAAGCAACGCTACATTTTGGAAAGGGCTATGAACACAAGCAAGAGTCTAGGCAGAGAGGGAAAAAAGAACTAGAATTCTGAAAGATGACTCTGAGGTGATAGGTAAGAGGGAGAAATCCTGGCACAGAGAAGAGATAAGAAGAATCCAGGGCCATGGGAGAAGGTGATCAGTAACTGAAATAACTGCACAAATGCAGGGCAGCTGCGCAGGCTGGAGGCATTGGGCTGCGACTACGAGGAGACCGCAAGGGCAGGCGAGGTTCGGACTAGCCATGGTAGTTCGGGCCACTGCAAACAGCCTCTATTTTTGTTCCAGTACCAAACGGCCAGTAGAGGGTTTTAAGCTAGAAAAGCAGGGCCAACTACGCTTTTCCACAGCACAAGTTACAGGAAAACAAAAATGGAAGCAAACAGATCAGCTAGAAGCCAATGCACCGGGCCAGGGAAAAGATGCTGCCGGATGCAGACGGGGGACTGTGGCGCACGCCCGGGTGGGACAGGAAGCATCTGGGAAGAGACAAGTGGGCTTGCTCAGAGCGAGCGGCCGCTCAGGAGCGGGAGCGGGTACAGTGCACGGCGGCAGGCTCTCCTGGGCTGGGCGGAGGCGCGCGCCTCCGGACCGAACCACACGGTACCCCCCGGCAGCAGGGGCGCCGGGCTCCACCAGCAGCAAGGCTCTGCCTCCCAGGGCGGCGCCGGCACCCCCGGCCAAGAGCGGAGAAGTGCGGGCGACCCTCCGCCTCGGGGCCTCCTCACTCAGCACCCGAGAGGCGCTCGCCGGCTGGGCCCGAAGCTGCCCTCGCAGCCTCCTCTCCTCCTGGATCTCCATCATTCCCACCCTCCACCCCACTGCGGAGGAAAAACTGCACGCGGACGAGCGCCTCCCGGCCGCGAGTGTCACTTTACCTCGACCATGACGCTGCCGCGCAGTCCAGCCCTCCGGCAGAGGAGAAACACTAACCCCAGCGCATCGCCCGCCGGCCGCCGCGACTGAGGCCACTTCCGGAATCGGGCCCGGGCGCCGGATGTGACGCAGCGCGGCGCGCACGCGCGCTGGCCGTCCGAGCGGGCCGCGGGGGCGTTCCCGGCTGCGGCCGCCTCTGGGGGAGGCTCGGTGCGCCGCCCGCCGCGGTACCGCCCAGCCCCGCGCTCGGCGCCTTGGTAGGGCGCGCGCTAGTCCGCGCTGCTCCGGACGCGCCCTGCGCGTTCGCTGCCGTGCGCCGCCCGCGTCCGCAGCCTGAGCGCAGTCCGGTCCTGGCGCCCCAGAGGCCGCGGCTAGGCCTGTTAGCGCTTCGCCCAGTAGGCGAGCAGAAACGATGGACCTAATGAATTCTTTGCGGAATGGTGAAGTAGCGTCACCAGCAGGTGGTGCTGTGACACCTAGTTAGGAGGCCAGGCTCCCGCCTCCGCCGTGTTGCTGCTGCGTCCCCCACGAAATAGGAAATAAGTACAATTACCAAGTGCTTGACAGAGCTCGGGAGCTCAGGGCGGGGGGCCTTCCTTCCCCGCTCCTGGAATTTTAATTTCCCTTCGTGAAAGGCGCGCGTTTGCGGTGTGCTCAGGGCCCCTTTATTCCGGGAAGCTGAGCAGCCCGTCTAAGAGCCAGCACTTGGGACTTCGAAGGAGCGAAACGGGAGACCAGGGGAGGGGCTCCTGGACGGTTTTTTTGGTGTTGTCGCCCTTTGAGACTAGTCTGGGCTTACCTTATGGATGCCATTCAAACATAGGGTTGTTTTAAAATATTGCATAATTGTACTTTTCTTTTCCAAAACTTAAATATATGTGAAGGCCTTCAAAGAGCCTCAGTAAAACCAGGTGTGGGCGCACATAACTGTAATCCTGGCGCTCTGGAAGGCTAAGCAAGAGGATCACAAATTAGGCCCACCTTGGGCAATTTGGAGACCTTGTCTAATATTAAAAAAAGGTAAAAGGGCTGTTTGGGAAAGAGGACAGCAGTCAGGTCCATTGTGACAACTGTTGGGTGCTCAACAGCAACAAAATATATCTTTTAATGCATATGGTAGACTCAAGAATTTTGGCCTTTGAAAGATACAATCAACTAAATTCTAAAATTTATTCCCAGCCTTTAATAGCATATATTGTACAAGTTTGGCTGACATAAGTTTATTTCCACTTTCAAGGGTTTTTTTTTCATGCAAAATATAAAGGAACATGCTTCCAAGAATTAGGGTCTTTGAAATCCAGTCCTAGCCCAGGCCGGGTGAGTGTGTGGGAAAGCTTCCAGCTACCCTGCTCTGGCGGGACCTACCAGTCCCAGCCCAGGTGCAGCGAGGGTGAGACCCTCTTCCCCCCCCCTTGGGACGCCCCACACCACTCCGCAGCACCACCCCCAGCAAACCTACCTACTAGGAATTTCTGCCATATTCTGGGAACCCCCAAATCCAGTCCTAGTCCAGGCCCAGTGAGTGTGTGGGAGAACTGCCTCTCCCCGCTGCTCCACCTTGTCACCTTCAGACTCAGCTCAGACCTGGCATACAGGCCTGAGGTGAATACCAGCAGCTGCAATCCCTGCAGAGACTTTAGGAGACAGCACCACCCAGCTAGTCAAGGAGCAGAACATCTTGCCAGAGGGACACAACAGGTTCACCACCAAGGGCAGCAACAGGAAGGAGCTGAGCACAGCAGCCAGACCCAAGCCAGGCACAATAGGATAAATCCAAACGTTGTAGAGCTGCACCTGAACTTCAGTACGTGCGAAGGTTATAATTGCACCAAAGCTCTACAACTAAGGTCAAAAGACAGTGCAACACAAAATGACAACAAGAAGGAGCAAAATGCAATCTCAGAACCCAAGCCCACCCATAACAAGTGCAGAGGACACTAACATAGAACAAATTGGCAATGACACTGCTGAAATCAATGAATCAACAGACTCTGAAATAAGGAAAAAGCTGCAGAAAGGTATACAGGAACTCAGATTGGAAATGAAAAAAGAAATCCCTGAATTAATAACATTTGCAGTAAAGAATCAAATGCAGAAATATATGGAGGGAACCCAGTGCCCACCAAGAACAAGTGCGGAGGACACTAACTCAGCTCAAATGTATGAATTAATAGCGACGATAGTAAATAAGCAACAGCAGAAAGTCATAGAGGAAATCAGAACTGATTTTTTTTTTACAGTTCAGCTCAAATGTACAAATTAATAGCATTGATAGTAAAAAAGCAACAGCAGAAAGTTATAGAGGAACTCAGAGTAGAATTTTCTGAAATAAGAAAAGAATTCTCAGAAATCATAGCATCTGAAGTAAAGAATCAACTACAGAAACATAGGGAGGAAAGGCAATCTGAAAAAAACATTTCAATGAAAGAATTAATAACTGCTTCTAAAGAAGACATTGATTAAAAAAAATAGAGGAAATTAGAAAAATGACAGATTCCTTGAATGAGCAGTACAGGAAAGAAATAGATCACATGAAGCAGAGACGAAGAGATATAGAAGAATTTAAAATCTCAATCACAAGCTTGTAAAACCGTTTAAGTGAAAGTGAAGACAGAGTCTCAAATCTTGAAGATGCTGGTGCAGCTAGTGAAAAGGTAAGAAAGGATCTCTTAAAAACAACTAGGATGCAGGAAAAAATAAT